ATGGTATTTGTTTATTAGGGTTGTTATTCAAAATTTAATGTTATAATGATCAACATAGCTTTGGATTATCCAATATAAATCGGTAACACTGTCCTGCAACCGATGTAGGAAGCACCAAAGAATATATATAGACAAATCTCAAAAACACAGTTTTAACTGATAGTACTTTATAAACATCAAACTGTCCAATATTGGATCCTGCCAATTATAAGCACCAGAATAAATTGCAACGGACTCACCAAATTGATCCATGAACGATGTCCTGTTACAGTGATCTCCATACTCAAGGGTTGGTTGACTGGGCTCGAAAATAGGTTTTCCTATTCTTAGTATCGGACAAGCGAACCAAAAATCCTGTATGGCCAATCAGTTGATTAGTCAGATGATGAAAGCACAATTGTGGCTGAATGGATTCAGGCTGCTAATCGGAGAATCTGACCCACTTGTAAGGAACACAAAGAGCCACAAAGAACAACCAATGGTGCTAGGTTCCGAGATGATCAGTGGTTTAAGAACTCTGGGTTGGCAAATAGTTGAAGGAACACTAATTACAACTTCACAAAAGTCTAGAAAAAACGGAGCAAAAATTGACGGCTGAAAATTTTCTAAGTCTCTCTTCGAGCACAGCTCACTACGATCATCTCCGAGCTTTCCTGAAGTGATTCAGTAATTTTTGAAGAGATTTCAAACTTTCCTAGAGTAATTCAGCTCTTCCCAAAGTGATTTAGTACTTGCGGAAGTCATTACAAACATGCTGGAATGATTCAGCACTTTCTGGAGTGATTCTAAGCTTTTCTGAAGTGATTTAGTACTTTGTTATGTGATTTCAAATTGTTCTGAATCGATTCAGTTCGTTCAGAAGTGATTGTGAACATTTCTAAAGTGAAACAATACATTCCGAAGTGATTCAGGATTTTCCGAAGTAATTGAAAACATTTCTAAAGTGATTCAGCACTTCCGAATTGAGTAAAAGCTTTTCTAAGGTGACTCAGTACTTTTCGAAGTGATTTCTAACTTTTATGACGTGATTAACTACTTTCCGAAGTTATTTAATTATTTTCTTAGGTGATTCAGTTAATTTCTAGGTGATTCCAAACTGTATTGAACCGATTCAGTACTTTTCAAAATGATTCCGAACTATTCTCAAGTGAATCAGTGCTTTCCGAAGTGATTTCGAGTTTTTTTTATATGTTTCCAAACTTCTCGCCCACCGTGAAAGAATTTTGAAAGCATTATTCGTCCAAATTTCTATCTTACGCCACTAAGTAGTGCCAACTTTTGTGCGCCAATAAGGATTTGCACCGTTAGTGGTTAACCTCAACCGGATGAATTTTTTAACAGTTCAGTGGTACTATTTAACATTTTTTTTTCCCGATCAGGGGCACAAGCCACCTCACATTTACCATTTAAGATTTATTGTTTCCGTAACAAGTTTATCAGGGGCGCAAGCCATTTCAAATTTATGTTTATGTTTCCCTCAACATGATGATATACTACTTAAGGGCGATAGCTACTTTAAATAAAATTATTTCAATATTTTTTTTATCTTGACATGCATCCCAGACCGTATTTTTTTTTCTGGTGGATTTAGTTCCTGAACTACTGTGCACTGGTTATATATTTTATACGAGATCTAATAAAAGTTTAAAAATTGGGTGTTCGGATTAGATATTAAGTTTATTTGGATAACAATAGTGTGCATTTTATTGATATAATATATATATATGTGTGTGTATGTGTGTGTGTGTGTGTATATATATAATAGATAAAACATGTTTATATGAGGTTATAAGATTATTTACTAGCTATATGCATCACTATGTAATGCGATTAGTGATCACTACATTTTAGTAAATGACACGATTTTTTTACGATGATTTCTTTAAATAACGCAATCAACGCGAGCCTAAAAAAAATTTTTTTTCCTTGATTTGTTTTCCATTGATTTTGTTTTCCATGCTGAGCACCAATGCTACCGACGCCAGGAAGGCAGCTCCCACACCTGGACCCTACCTATCGGCCCATCAACTCATTAACCGGGGACCAACGGCTTTACTTCCGAAGGAAGGCGTGATCAGAGATGTTATGCCTCAGAACAATCTGGCGGCGCTGACTGGGATTGAACCCAGGCACCACCAGCATCGCTAGGCCTAAAAATTCTAAATGTTTTCTGAAGGATGGACATAGCCAAAAAACATACTGGGAAGTGTACTTTGAGTGGGTTCACCAGACAATATAGATTCATATTTTCGAAACGGGGATGGCGTGTAGAGGCCGGAAATCAATGGTTGACGCTATTTTGGAATCCAAGATGGTGACTTCCGGTTTGTGGTGAAATTTCGAATACCCTACAATATATTTATTTTCGGAATGGAATGACGTGTAGAGGCCGGAAATCGGTTATTCGCGCCATTTTGGAATACAAGATGGCGATTTCCCGTTTCTGAAAGTGCCAAATAAATTTTATGGAACAAGTTTTTAAATAACGATTATTATCTGTAATTAATCTTATAACATTTACAGGAATTTTATGCCACAAAATATGGTACCAGCGACTTGTTTGTGGCGTAGCCAGGTTTCGAGCTAGAGAGGGGCGAAAAAATCTATGGAAAATTAGGCCGAATGTCATTTCACCAAACGCCATTTCACCGAAAGCCTTTGCGTTGCTGGGTTTAGGGGGGGGGGGGGGGACAGTTGTTCATTTGGTTTCATTACCTTTGACTATTTGGTCAGTAACAATTTCAACTCCAGTTCAAGTTATGTTAGGTATTTTTGAGGCCATTACCATTTGTTAGAAAACCTCTAGTGCTACATACATTCCACAACCAAGTCGCTGGTATGATGTGTTGTTAAACATTCAATGTATACAACTCCTGTAAATGTAATGAGATTAATTAAACACAGATTGTCTAAAATAAACGTTATGTAAAAACTTGCTGCATACATTTTTTCTAGCCCTGACGTTTTTCGGTTTCAGCATAAGATTTGAATGATGCTCAAAAATTATTGGTTGTTTTGTTTTTTAAGGATTTAGAAGCCAAGCTTTAACTGCGTGCATATTTTATTGATGATCTTCAAAGATCAATCCAAAACTGTTAAAACTTTAAAATTTTAAACTTATATCAATTCAAAAGCTCATCAAAAATGCTAACTTTCCCGATGGACACAATGAACACTTCAAAATTGACCAAATTCGAAGAACATCAACTGTAAGTAAACATTTTTAATTTTAATAGCTACTTTTTTAATTCTTGACGAAAATTTGTAATTGTTTACTCAATATGTATATTTTTTTCAGAAAAAGCAATAAAACTTCATACAACCTTATCTCAGACGGCATTGCGATAAGATTTGTAAAAAAATGGTTAATTGCCCCTAGTGAACAATTATGCAAAGTTTTTAAGGATTATTATTATTATTATTTAGCTTTATTTAGGAGGCTTTCAGCCTTAGGCTGGTTCGCCTCCAGGGTTTTTAAGGATTCGGAGAGGGAAAAATAAAATCGAATCGTCAGTTGGCGTGGAACTGCTCTATGTAAATCAAAATTAAATATGTTGTGACAATAACCGGGAACTAGACAACGATTGTCGGAAACAAGAGTCCAGGCAAAAAAAGCGGAAAAATATTTTTATTTATCGACCTTCTCCAAATGGTATGAAACTTTGCATAATTGTTTGTAATGGACAATGATTCACATTTTTGCTCAAATTCGAACAGAAAAGTTTTTATTTATTTGAAGAACTGTTTAAAAATTTACAATATCAAAAAGGGCCAAATTTTAGCAAAACAACTGTGTATGATTGCCCAAACATTTATGCAAAGTTTTATGCAGATCAGAGAACGTCGAGTTTTTTTTTCGATTTGTCGTGGAACTGCTCCATAACCGAGTAAAGAAAATAACACCAAAAGCACTCGTTACGGTTGTCGCCTGGTCATGAGACACGAGTGATCCAGAATTTCAAACAGGTCCATACTAAAGGGCTTGTAAAAGTATGGACGACTGAAACCAGAAAACTGAGAAAAAAAATATAAAGAGAGAGAGAGAAGGATTAGTAATTTCCATTAAATTCCACTACCTTATTTGCTTATCATTGACAGATACGCGTATTTCATCTAAAATGTGCAGACTTCTTCAGTGTCTTGTGACTACTAATCGAGTATTAGTAAAAGACACTGAAGAAGTCTGCACATTTTAGACAAAATACGCGTATCTGTCTCTCTCTCCATTTATAAAATTATTCCACTTAGATACCCACATTCATCAGCATTGAAAAATATATATATGTTTCAATCGAGCAGTTCATTATGGCTGTTCGATTGGAACAGCTTTTGGCAAACAAGTAATCCATACAATTGCAGTGAGATTGTGAAATTATAAATCGGTCAAACGCTTTTTTTTTTTTTTTTTTTTTTAGCTTTGTTAAGGGCACTGGCTCGTCTCCGGAAAACGCTTGGCTGGCTCGTCTCCGGAAAACGCTTTTTATGCAGACAGCTTTCACCCTTGCGTAACGCCAGTCGCTCCGAATAATTAGCCCGCTGGACAGCTATATTCAATTTTTGGATCTCCTTAGGATTCAATTTGTAATTTTTCTGCTTCACGTTTACGGACTCACCAGCTTTGTCAAGTTTACTTGCAATAGAATTCTTCCATTCTTTCGTATGATTACCACAGTGAATGGATCGATTGGTGCTATATTTTTGCCGTATTTCTTCACTCTTGGGAAGGACAATTAAGTTGAGCGCATCATCAAGGTTGTAATTAATTACTCTAAGTATTGGATGATTGCTAAGACTCAAAGGGAACACGTGATGTACCTGGCTTTCTTTACTAGTGGCAGAATCCATTGTGGTCGAATCACACTCAACATCGTTTCCGAGAGGCTTTCGATATGTTGGGATTATGTCGTTGAATTTTTCATTTTTTTCGTATTTGGGGCGCGTCACACCTCTTTTTATTTTATTTTTTGCTGCTCCTCTTTTCCCTGGCTTAGACTTAATACGTTTTTCTTCTTTCTGTTTTTCCTTGCCGCCCTTTAAAATCCTCTTTGGAGCTATCCGTTCCAAATGGGCACGTTTTTCAAACATTTGCTCTGCCTGCCTTGGGTGGGCCTTGATATGTTCAACCATCTTATCCCGCAGATCGGACACATTGTTGATTTGTAACGATTCGCGCTGAGCTGGACTTAGCTGGGCCATGATTGCATCCAGAGCACAGGAATTTTTTCCGGAAGGAGTCACCGGGATGTTGGGATCCAACGGACAAAAGTGTTCCATGGTATGTTCAATAGACTTGGTGAAATGCTTGATTTCTATTTTTTTGCCCGGCAATTTACTTCCTAGGATATACTTAAAGTTGCCCTTTTCGTCATATAAGCTGATTGGAGCTATAATTACACCCGCCACAAGAGCCAAGCTTGTGGTGTCATGCATATGTCCATCCTTGGTGATGGTGTCAATCATCTGCTTGGATTCAGGACCAAGTTCTTTAGGTTCAGGTTCTGACTCATGGGTGTCGGCTGCATTGGCCAAGGCATTTGATTCGCTTCTGAGATCTCGCTCGGTTTTAATCTCATTACAAATATTATAGACTGATTCTTTCTTACTGTGGAACAGTCCGTTGGTCACCTTTGCAGTTACTCGGCTTACAGCTGGATTTACAATATTCTCTTTGATCGAAGCAGTCAGTTTTCCCGTAATCGTACCCTTGAAAGCACTAGCAAGAGTTCTCGGAGTAGAGCCCTCTCGGTACGTTGATCGTAGCTTCACTGCAGCTTGAGCTGGTGCCTTTGAGCTGTAGACTGTATCTTCCCTAATTTCCTGAACGTTAATGTCTGAACTATCGCAGTCAACATCAGGAGCCTGGCCAACCTCTTTAGCCGATAATTGATCACGATCTGCTTGGTTGTTTTTGGCAGTCGATTGAGCGTTATGGCTGGAAGGTTCACTAGACGAATCAACTACCGCTTCATTGATTTTCTTCTCCTGATCGCACACCACCTTGTTAAATTTCGTAATGAAATTTTCCGTGTATGTATTTAGTTTATGCATACATTTTCCCACTCCAACGACATCCATGATATCGTCAGCATAAGGAATTGATCCAACAGCCACCCCTTTTGCAATATTTTTGAACATGTCAATGCACTGATTGATGTCTTTATCTTTCAATAGCTTCATACCTTCTTTTATGAACAGCTGTTTCCAGTAGCTTGAACCGGTACGTTCATCTTCTTCCAAGGCCTTCACAACCAAAGTATTTTCCGAAAGTGCTCTTATGAGAGCATCATTCACACGGGCACTGATAACATCTTCAAGATTTTTCATGAACAGCTGATCAGTGCAGTATTTTCCTGCCTCGTTCAAACATTCCTTTACGACTCCTTTCCCCAACGCGAGTCCTACTTCTTTGATGGCCAACTGTACACCCCCTTTCGGACCAACAATTCTTTTGCCGACATCATAGCATGTTCTCGAAATGTCCTTTAAACCGGACTTGAAAGTATTACATACCCCCTTTCCTGCTTGTTTGATTGTCCCTAACCCCAGAGTTCCGGCTTCCTTAGCAGATTTGATGGTCTGTTTTATAGAAGCGATTCCAGCGCAAACGATGGAAATAGCGATGCTGATCACTTTCTGAGTTGCCCAGGCAGCCCAGCTAAACGTTCCTTTGATGGCAGCTGTGGCGGCCACGATCAGATCTGCTACGCCCTCTGCAATGAGACCCGATCCTAAGGGGCCTCCAGTATACATTACTATGAGACATCCTGCGGCAATTTGGGCGATGCCCATAAGTGCAACCGCTATGATGCTACCCCATGGCCTCGGAAGTTTCTCTTCGACAGTGAATAAACTCTTCAGACCATTGCCATATGCTTCGCGGATTGCTTTATCGTGCTTTTCGTTTGCCTCAGTCGTTTGCCATAAGTCGTATAAATTTGTCAGCCTGAGCTTCACATCGTTGTTCTTCTTCTGAGCAGTCTGTATGACTTCACAGGCCTGCGCAATGAAATCTTCCTGTTGACTGAGAACATCCAACTGATGGTGCACGTGTTGGGATGTTTGTTCTAGGTAGACATGCTGTCCAATCAAGGTATTGAAGGTCAACAGGTTTGGACGGTATACCGACTTGATAAGATCTCTTGCCTTCTTCAACTCGCGTAATGCTTCCTGTTGCTTGTATCCACTGTTCTCGGGATCGGAAAGAAGAGCTCGAGCCTTGTTATACCGTGCATTCACAGAGAAAACAGGATCTAGTAGAATGGCTCGATCAAAACATATAACCGCTTCTTCGAGCTTCCTCGCATCCAATTCTTCGTTCCCTTTGAGCACGTAAAAGAAGGGATTCTGAACGAGCTTATCGTTCTTGGCTCGGTGATTAAGATCTTGTTCGAATTCACCCCTGAACATGGTGGTGGCTTCTTCAGTCGATATCTTGGCATCGTCGAAATGTTTGCTTTTCAACCAAAGGCCCCAGGCTTCTTCAATTGCTTTTCTCTCGAATGAACCCCACTTGTATCGTAAGGCCAGGTTGCTACATTTTGGTTTGTATTTTTCACCCCTTTTGAAATCATTTAGCATTTCTGAGGGTACTGTTGATGAAAGTTTGGAGCAAAACTGACTCAATACGTTCTGGGTGTAACGCTTCCGGAATGCAGGCAACTCGATAGCCACCTGCTCAGCAGCTTTATCTTGTAGCTCTCGTAGGTCCTTTACGTTCAATTTGCCATGCTGTTCCTTAGAAAGCCTGTTCAAAGCTGCTTGCTCGAATTCTTTTTGTGTAGCTTCAGACCATTCAGCAGCCTTTTCGGCAATTTTCCTGATATTTAGATGGTACGCTGAACAATCAGCCCAATAGGCCTCGAGCAAATCCCTTACGTGCACTTTCCTCGTATCGTCCATACTGGGAAGGAGTTCATTTTCCAGCAAGCAAAACCGATTGAAGAGACTGTCCTGGACGAGCATCTTCTTGGCATCATCTATGGCTGTGTGCGTTACCTGAGTCTCATGCACCTGTCGGATCTTCTTTAGTACCTCCATGGACGTATTGCTACCATCGTGTACAATTAACTGAGCCATGCCTCGTTTACCTTCGCGAGCCGTACGACCAACGTTCTGCATTTCGACGCGGAAACTCTCCGGTAGAAACGCTACCAACACGCACATTCCTCCGTTCTTTTCAACATCTTTCGACGTCTTGAAATCCGTTCCACGACCTGCAATGTTGGTAGCAATGATGATCTCACCCGAGTTGATCGTGTCCTTTTCGAAACATGCCTCCTCTCCTGTATAGATGAAGATTTTTTTGGAATCGTACACATTCTTCAGCATATTGGAAAGATGCCGAACCTGATTGATGTATTTGCAAATGACCAGGACTCCACGACCATTTTCAGCGTGGTACACTGCGTTCTCCATTAGGCTTTGGAACCATCTACCTAGATTTGATAGAACCAATGGTGCGAGTTCCTTGCATCGGTAACCTGAGTTTTCATTGTTGGCGATGTCTATGCTCTTATACGGTGGAATCACAACCATATCTGTGCCATACATTTCTTGCAAGAAGCCCTGTGTAGATTCTTCACCAAGAGTTCCCGTCAATCCGTAGATATTGGAACCGTATCGCTGGAAGAAGCTAACGTTAGAGATGAAATTCGTTGATATCCCTTCCGGATCCATTTTCAACCCTTCCTTCATCTGCAAAAACTGCGTCAAGCCATCGCTCCACACCATATTGGTCTGGAGATCACCGGTTTCATTAAAATTCACTGGCACAATTTTCCCGTGCACTACAGTATAGTGAGCATCGCGCTTGTAAGCCCATTCAGCCAGTATGGCGTTCTTTACCCAGATGCAAATCTGATTCAAAGCGAAGTCCCTTAAATGTTCCGGAATATCAACAACTGGATCTCGGTAATTCCACGGAAGCTCGATTAGCTTCTTGCGCATCTTCTCACATGCATCCATCAACTCATCCGTACCATTTCCGTCTTTCATAGAAATCTGTTCCTCCTTTTCCAGAATTTGTAGATTCAGTTCTTGATAGGCATCGTATTCATCCCGTTCAGAATCCGTTAACTTTCGAAGCAATTTTCGCAAATGATCCTCGGTATGTTCCGATATAAACTGCTTCTTATCATCCACTTCGATACTTACAGCCTCCCAGTCTTCCCCAGAGTACAGTTTGATCTGCTGCCCAACTGCTTCAAAGTCCTCCGCGATGAAATGCACCTTCCCATTGACCGAAACCATGTGATTGTTGATGTTGTGAATGTGCTGCCAAATGACGGCCAACGGTACCTCTAGATGAGTCATTCCAGGATTCTCATCTGCTAAACGGACACTATGATTTCGGCTGTCAAACAACATACTGTCCACTTCGTCCACTATGATTACTTGAAACTTGCGACTTCCCCGGCAATCGTTCCCCAAGTACTCTGAACGGAGAATGTCTCCTTGGAAATCTGATGCAGTTCCGTAGACAACATCACAGCTATAGACAACTTTTTTCACTTGATCCGTGCTGTTTTCATCCACCGTTAGGCCAAACGCTGCGAAGAATGGTAGTTGCTTTTCCACTTCAGGAATCGACAACTCCGTAGACGTTGTAACAATATCGACATTCACACCCTTCAACGCGTGTATCACAGCCAGCATTGCGACAATAATGGACTTACCTTCACCGGTGTTGATCTGAGCAAGACGACCTTGACCTTCATCTGGGTTCGCCAACATCAACAACGACAGAATCTGTGTTGCTCTTGGGAAGAACTTGTGGCAAAGTTCAACGGCACGGCTGACGACTGCTATCTTCTCTACCAGCGATACCTGATTCGGACTGAATTTGACAAAACGTGCCCAATGCCGTATTTCCTTTTCCTTCCACTCCGAAATGGGTTTTCGGGTGAGTTTTTGAAGTGCTTCACTGTTGGTGCATACACTGTCGAATTTAGTAAACTGCGAAGAATTGAACGAAAGCGCAGCTCTAGAATACGCCAGTTGGACTAAGTTGAACTTGTTTTTCAAATAATTTTTATTAGTTTGCTCGATTAACTCATCTACGCTGTATTCATAGCTTTTACCGAAAATGGAAGAAATTATAATCTTATCAATTTGGCCAATCCATTTTTCGGGATTCTTTTCTTGCTTAATAGCAGTGAAAACATGATCCCAAATATCTGGTAAGGTTTGATATGTCAGGATATGCTCTAAGATTGTTGCAAACTTTGACATATTTGGTTCCAAAAGGTTCTTGTTTCTGTCAATAAAATTTTGAATTCTATCAGCTTTTTCTTTTTTCAAAAGATGTCCTAGCTTTGCATCTACATCACGGGCGACCTGGGGAGACAGTTCGTAAATTTTTTGAACCAAAATTTGGTACCTGAGTTCCTGAATCCAAGCCGTTGCACAATCTTCTTCGTTCTGAATCTGGTTGATGATGTTCATCACTACTGGATGAACAACATTTTCATTTTTGACTTTATTAAGCAAGTCGCAAACTGCTGTTTGGTTTTGTTCTTTGAAAATGGCATTCAGAAACTGTTGAGTCATCAAACTGTTCCATGGCATGTTCACGAGCAGTTCAACCAATGCGTCAAAAGTTTCTTCATCACAAGTCCAACGCACCAGTCTTCGTCTGATCCAGCAACGTTTCAGGTTGCGATACCAAAAGATCTGCTCTTCACAGATTATGTTCAGTCCTTCGGATTTCAAACCAAGAACCATGTCCAAAATATCATTGATATGTAGCAGAGTTAATCCATGAGTCAACTGCTTCGTTCGAAGTGAGTACAAGAGTTTCTGGCGATTTTGCCACTCAAATGACTCCCTCACATCTAACCAATAATTTTTGAAGACTTCAAGTAAAACCTCATCCACGATTCCCTCTGGGTACACAATGAGTTCGAATATTAAGCTTTGCTCAATCCATCTTATCACCGGATAGCGTTTCACAACTCGAGTCTGTAGTTTACCTCCTCGATGAACGTACTCCAATAGTTGCTGCTGAAGTACAACGTCCACTTTGTTTAAATTTCTTCTTACGGCTCTCGACAGTTGCAAAAATGCTTTATTCTCAACGGATTGTGAAATACGTTGATGTCTGGATTCTTTTCGCAATTGTTTGTGATGATTTTGTCTTGCTAGACGTTCCAGTTGCTTTTCAGATTTCTTCATTTCTTCATGGAAAATTTCGGCACCATCCTTGCGATTATTTTCCATGTCTACCGCTCGTTTGATTAAGCGCCCAAAGTTTTCCGACATGTTATTTTGCAATCTTATCAATAGTGCCTCGATTAGCTTAGAAGAATTTGCTTGAACTATTTCAATCTGTTTGTACCAGGACTCCGAGATTGCGCGGTCACTGTAGGAGTCATCGATTAAATTCAGTGACGATGTATCCAATGCTTCGAATAATAACCGCAAATCAATCACTTTGGCCTCGGGTAACAGATTCCCATAATCTGTCTCCGTAGTGTTAATGGGACCTTCTTGTTGAATGGAGTGTGTTTCATTATTATTTACCTCATTGCATGGCTCTTCAGCCTCCTCTTCGCTAACGTAACCGATTTCGTCATCCCGTATAGCACTTGTTTGTTCCAAGGCCTCCTGAAGCTTGGACTTGATTACTTCTTTCTCCTCTTTTTCTCGTGCAATGCGTAGCTGTTCCTGATGTTCACGCTCTCGCTGCAAACGCTGTTGTCTCGTCCGTTCTTCTTGTTCTCTTTGCAGTCTAAGCTGTTCGTGACGCTCTTTTACTTCTCGTTCCCGCTTCAAGCGATGTTGCTTTTCTTCTTCCTCTTGTATTCGTTGCTGACGCTCACGTTCTTCACGCTCTCGCTGCAATCTGACCTGTTCCTGACGTTCCCTTTCTTCCTGCTCCCGCTTCAAGCGCTCTTGTCTTTTTCGTTCCTCTTGTTCCAGACGTTCACGCTCTCGCTGCAAACGCTGTTGTCTCGTCTGTTCTTCTTGTTCTCTTTGCAGTCTAAGCTGTTCGTGACGCTCTTTTACTTCTCGTTCCCGCTTCAAGCGCTGTTGCTTTTCTTCTTCCTCTTGTATTCGTTGCTGACGCTCACGTTCTTCGCGCTCTCGCTGCAATCTGACCTGTTCCTGACGTTCCCTTTCTTCCTGCTCCCGCTTCAAGCGCTCTTGTCTTTTTCGTTCCTCTTGTTCCAGACGTTCACGCTCTCGCTGCAAACGCTGTTGTCTCGTCCGTTCTTCTTGTTCTCTTTGCAGTCTAAGCTGTTCGTGACGCTCTTTTACTTCTCGTTCCCGCTTCAAGCGCTGTTGCTTTTCTTCTTCCTCTTGTATTCGTTGCTGACGCTCACGTTCTTCACGCTCTCGCTGCAATCTGACCTGTTCCTGACGTTCCCTTTCTTCCTGCTCCCGCTTCAAACGCTCTTGTCTTTTTCGTTCCTCTTGTTCCAGACGTTCACGCTCTCGCTGCAAACGCTGTTGTCTCGTCCGTTCTTCTTGTTCTCTTTGCAGTCTAAGCTGTTCGTGACGCTCTTTTTCTTCTCGTTCCCGCTTCAAGCGCTGTTGCTTTTCTTCTTCCTCTTGTATTCGTTGCTGACGCTCACGTTCTTCACGCTCTCGCTGCAATCTGACCTGTTCCTGACGTTCCCTTTCTTCCTGCTCCCGCTTCAAGCGTTCTCTTTCTCGTTCCTCTTGTTCCCGTTGTTCCCGTAATCGTTCCTGCCGTTCCCGTTCGCGCTGCTCCCGTTCCTGGTGCTCTCGCTCAAGTCTGTCCTGTTCCTGCCGCTGTCGTTCGAGTGCTTCTCTCTCACGTTGTAGCCTTTGCTGTTCTTCCTGCTCCTGTCGTATGCGCTCCTGGCGGTCCCGTTCCTGTTGTGCTCGCCGTCTACGTTCTTCACGCTCTTCCTGCTCGCGTCGTTGGGCAGCTTGGCGGGAGGCACAATTGTGGTTCAACCGGTGGCTACAGTAATCGTAACATGTACCGTTTGGACACGAATAGAGACACCGATCGCAGTAGTATGTGGGACATTTGGAACAACTGTGTCCACCACCGTGGAGGCCGATTTTTCCAATGAACAGAATTTGTGAATTGTCGATGGATAAGACTTGAACATGTGAACGCTGCCATCGTGAGTCTCGTTCAGTCAAATCACGTATGGTACAAGAATGATCGAACACAACTGGAACATGCAGCAGCTGGTAACAACGAGGGACGGACGAATTTAAGATCGTTGCCTGGAAGCTATCCCCTTTTAATTGGAGAACTGCGCGGAATCCTTCCTTGGTTATTAACAATCTTGCTGGCGCATTCTGCATAATGGCCATTTTTTTCTTTTCAGACGTGATTGTTCATGGACTAGAAACTGCAATTTTAGATCAGAAAAGAAAACAAGTTGATATTAGTCTACAGCTTAAACATGTTTTTACATTTAGTATTGTACTATGTGCGCTTGGTGCCTTCTGCGCACTACTTCGTTATGATCCAAGGAAAATGTGCGTCGAAGATATCGAAACAATTTACCATAGCATATTTTTGACCTTACCGTAGCATATTTTTAACCAATTTAAAAATAACCAATCGAGGTAATTGTCAACGAAAAATTATTTCTCCAAATCAAAAATAGAATTACTGACATGCAACACGGCTTTTTCAAGGGTCGCTCGACCTCGACAAATTTACTTGAATTTATAGACTATTCATTGAATGCAATGGATAATGGAAACCACGTAGAAGCTCTCTATACAGATTTTAGCAAGGCATTTGACCGCATAGCTACCAATGCTACTTTTTAAATTGCAAAAAATTGGAATTGAGTCAGGGCTCCTAAAATGGCTTGAATCATATTTAACTAACCACCAACAAATAATTAAATTCAACGGAAAGAAATCGAGTCCAATTCAAGTCACTTCAGGCGTCCCCCAAGGCTCTCATTTGGGACCTCTTCTTTTTATTCTATACGTAAATGACATTTCTTTCATTCTCAAAAACTCAAATTGCTTATTTATGCCGACGATATGAAGCTCTTTTTGGAAATAAGAAATGAAGAAGACATCAATATATTCCGAAATGAAATACACATATTCTACATATGGTGCAAAAAAAGTCTACTAGAATTGAATGTAAAAAAATGCACAACAAAGAACAACTTCAAATATTTCAATTGCACTAGGAAATCAAAATGTAGAAAAATGTGAAAGAGTTAGGGATTTAGGAATTATCTTAGACTCTAAACTAACTTTCATAGACCATTACAACACAATTATTCACAGGGCAAATAACATGCTAGGCTTTATCAAGCGCAGCATTGTATGGTCTCCTTTTTCAATCACGCACGAAGAAAGATTAGAATCCGTACAAAAACAATTTCTATTATACGCTCTTCGTAAATTAGGTTGGACATCATTTCCTCTTCCATCATATGAAGCACACTGCATGCTTATAAACATACAAACATTAAAAGAGCGTCGTGAATATGCAATGGTTTCATTTGTAAACGATATCGTTTCGCAACGCATTGACTCCACAGAACTTTTATCAAAATTAAATTTCCATGCACCTACTCGGCAACTCCGAAATCGAAATTTATTTGCCATAAAACATCATCGCACAAATTATGCAAAATATGGGCCATTAAACCGCATGATGGCCTCTTACAATCAATACTGCGAAACCATTGACTTTACAATGTCTCGGCATAAACTAAAAATAAATAAATAAATAAATAAATTTTAGACGCCCCCCTTTTAACGTATTTTGCTATACCTAATACATGGCCGGTAACAACTTCTGATGCTCATTTTTGGATGCACTTTTATAAGCATTTCCGCCCTTTTCGTAGCACTTTTAAAAATGATTAGATAAAAATATGCGTGGAAACATCGGGAACGCACTCCCGATGGGTTTAATGATTTGGTGAGTATGTTCCAGTTGAAGATTGTTGAAAAGTGTATTTGTGGTGATGCAAATTATGACGCATGGCTTCAAACATTTTGTGTATTCAAATAAAACATATTACATACTAAATACGCACAGGGCACCGTCTACTGACCATTGCCGCGGGTATATCGTGGGAGTCCCAGGTTCAAGCTTTAGTTGGTGGCAGTGGCTCTTCTTGACCTTCTACCCACTGAGTAGTAAGTGTGAATAAGGGCGTCTATGTGATGGTTTGTTGTACCTGTTGTAGATATCTAGTGCATCCTGTTCCCTTAACTTGTTGAGGACACCCTGTCTTGCTTCAAAAGTTACCCTTTTGACGTAGGACTACGTCTTTGATTTCTATATGGGGGTACACTTTGTGAAAACCGAAAAGGGAACATGTAACAAATTAAGAAAGATTTTGAACGTTAATAACTCAGCTTCCCCTGGTCCAATTTCAATAATTTTATCACCAATCGATCAGAAATATGGCTACGCATTGATAACAATGCTTCCGAATGTTGATTTTCAACAAGACTCTTTTGAAAAACTGGTAAATGTTCAGCATTGTCCAAAAGCGTCGAATTAACTAACAAATACACCAATTACCTACATGCATATGCTGCTTCCCCAGCACAGTCGTCAGAGAGTAGTAAGTAGACGAATCAAGTCGAAGTGGCGTTCGCCTCCGATCCTCGGGCGCGTGCGAATAGGGAGGATGGAATTGCGTAATATTTTACACACTCATCGCCATGTTCAGAACCAAACGCAAATTCTTCGAGATAACCACCATCCGTCGTCTGGCTCGCCGTGGCGGTGTCTGACGTATCTCCGGTTTGATTTACGAGGTGTGCTGAAGGTGTTCCTGAAAAATGAGATCTGTGATGCTGTCACCTACACTAAACACGCCAAGCGTAAGCGGCCATGGATGTCATCTACGTTTTTGAAGTGACAGAGACGCACTCTGTTTGGTTTCAGAGGTTAAATCATCACCAACATTGGAAACAAAACGGCTCTTTCCAGGGCCACCAAGCTTATTACAGTAAAGAGTAGGAATAGAATTCATCTGCCTGTTTTTCCATATTCAGAACCACCGACCACACAAAATGCTCATGTAATCAAACTGGAAGCAGGGATACAAATTGTTTTGATCAACCTTGATCAACTTTGAATCGCCACGGCCGGATATTTTCGATGGAAGAAGCAACAATCTAGCATCTAATTCGACGAAGGCGGCAGGAAACATTTCTGGATCAACAATAGAATAGGGCCCATCAGCATTTGTAAACAAACCGTTCCAAAGCCTCACAAATCGAAGGCCGCTCACACAAACCAACACCAACATCTTGTAGGTAGAAGTTTCCCCTATCCGATGATGGTGTTGGTTTGTGTGGGTGGCCTTCGCTTTGTGAGTAAAGGGCTTTGGAACGGTTTGTTTACAAATGCTGATGGGCTCTTTTCTATTGTTGATGCGAGATTTGTTTTCCGTACTGAGCTCCAATGCTACCGACACCAGGGAGGCAGCTCCCAGAGATGTTATGCCTTAGAACATGCCGATGGCGCCGACTGAGATTGGACCCAGGCCTGCTGGGGTGAGAGGTAATCACGCTAACCACCGGCGCCGATATCTTTCACGGCGAATGAGAACGACCCAAATTTGAGTTTAGTTATCTCAGAAATAAGTGCAGGAACTCAGCGATGAGTAAATATTCCTCGTGTTTTCCCAGGTTTTTCCAGGATTTTCCAGGGAAAAATTCCCAAATTTGAGAAAAGTAAAAAAGTAAAGATTGGATTCACTCAGTCTATTGGTACTACTCCGAGACTGAATAAAATTTTCGTTAATTTCCTCATTTTCTGGCAGATTTTTTAGGTTTTCCACAGGAAATCATGAGACAAATTTACTCATCGCTGAGTTCCTGCACTTTTGGCGATTATGAGTGAACTAAACTCAAATTTGGGGCGTTCTCATTCGCCGTGTACGCAAAAAGAAAATAGCCAGTGTCGCTACTTGATAGCAAACTACTCATAATTGGAGGAGTCTTTGTAGCTTTTATACCACTTGGTTGCACATCATTCTGCTTTAACCTAAAAAGATATAAAGCAGCGCTGCTGTCTGGTATCAGCTTATTTTCGCTTCGGACGGCGTGGTCAGCAAAAGCAGCAGTAGGTCGTGGCTGGTCGTGGCAAAGGAGGTGCCAATCGTCATCGCAAATTCTTCAAGATAACCACCATCCGTCGTCTGGCTCGCCGTGGCAGTGTCTGACGTATCTCCGGTCTGATCTACGAGGTGTGCTGAAGGTGTTCGTCACCTACACTAAACACGCCAAGCGTTGGAATAGAATTTATCTATGCTTGTTTGTGCATATTCAGAACCACAAGCCCCCAACCCAACAAACATTGCAAGCTGAGTAACAGCTTATTCAGGCACAAATATGCTTCTTAAGCTAAAAAATAGCTTATTCAGCTCAAATTGTTTGTTGGGAACGACCACACAAACTTGGAAGCAGGGGTGCAAGTGATTTTGATTGATTCTTGTAATCAACTTTCTTTTTGAAAAAGATTACTACAAATTTGGATCGCCTACAATTCAAAAACGGGAAGAGTTGAGATAATAGATATTTCAGGCATAACATTTGATAACGGCACAAAAGCATTTGTAAACAAACCTTCTAAGACCCTTTACACGCGAACCAAAGTACGCCCACGCAAACCAACAACATCATCGTATAGGGGCAACTATCACCTTTCCGTAAGTGGTATTGGTTTGCGTGGGCGTACTTTAGTTCGCGTGTAAAGGGCCTTAGAATGTTTGTTTACAAATGCTTTTGTGCCGTTATCAAATGTTATGCCTGATTTGATCAATTAAAAGAACTTAATGCTCTTCACATTTATTCCGTCCACTAGCGGTCCTACGTCAAGCTTCCGTTCGTGCCCCTAGGCACAGACCCTTCTACTTTTTTGCTGTGCAGAGAAATGTCAGTTTATTTCTAGCACAGCAGAGACTGCAAAAACTCCATACAACATTAATCCACAACGTTTATACCCCTAGATAGATTGAACCCCAGGAAAACTCAAGAAAATAAAAATTGCATGAGTTTTCATCCTGAATTTTTCACCACCACTCGATTATTCACTTGTTCTAAAAATGGCCATTCCATGGACATTTAGTCAGATACAAACAAATAATGAGAAAAGTTTCTTTTTTTAAATTTCAAAACATAAAGAGCATTCTATCCAAGCCCATTCCGGGGACAATCTGTCAGATAGCCACGAAAATATGATGAATATTTTTTTTTTTTTTTTTTTTCTTTATTATAGAGATTTTTAGCCTGAGGCTAGTTCATCTCTTAATATGATGAATAGTCGCCTGCTGTAAATTCATGAATTTTGATACCCATTTTGCAGGGGTTTCTTCCCAAACACTTCTATGGCCACTAGAGGC